CCCATCTGGTGATGTCCATGTGTAGAGTCACCTCTTGTGTTGTTGGAAAAGAGTGTTTGTGATGACCAGCTTGGTCTCTTGACAAAACTCTATTAGCCTCTGCCCTGCTTCGTTTTGAACTCCAAGGCCAAATTTTCCTGTTTTTCCTTTTATCTCTTAACTCCCTCCTTGGCCATTCCAATCCCATATAATGAGAATAACATCTTTCTTTTGTGTCAGTTCTAGAAGGTGTTGTAAGTCTTCATAGAATTGGTCAATTGCAATCTCCTCAGCATTGGTGGTTGGAGACTGAAATTACCGTGATGTTGAAAGGTCTGCCATGGATTCGTATTGAAATCATTTTTGAGATTATATCCCATTACAGCTTTTCCCATTTTTTTGTTCACTATGAGGATTACTCCATTTCTTCTACGGGATTCTTGCCCACAATAGTAGACATGATAATTGTCTGAATTGAATTTGCCCATTCCTGTCCATTTTAGTTCACTGACGCCAGGGATGTCAATCTTTATTCTTGCCATCTCCTGTTTGACCACATCCAACTTACCAAGGTTCATAGATCGTACATTCCAGATTCCTATGCAGTATTTTTCACAATTTTTCTTTGCAGCAATTTCACTTCCAGGCGCGTCTGCAGCTGAGTGTTCTTTCGGCTTTGGCCCAACCACTTCATTAGCACTGGAGCTACTTGTACTTGTCCTCCGCTCTTCCTCAGTAGCATGTTGGATGCCTTCCAACCTGAGGGGCTCATCTTCCAGCATCATATCTTTTACCCTTTTGTTTCTGTTCATGGGGTTTTCTTGGCTAAGATACTGGAGTGGCTTGCCAGTTCCTGCTCAAGGTGGATTGTGTTTAGTCAGAACTCTCCACTATGACCCGTCCATCTTGGGTATCCTTGCAGGGCAGAGCCCATAGCTTCACTGAATTACTCAAGTCCCTTTGCCACAACAAGGCAGCAATCTATGAAGGAGGTTTTCTCAATAATCCCACATAAAATTAAACTATGTTAACATCAATGTTCCCTCTAATTTTCCTCTCCACTGGGTGGGGCTCTTCCACTCACCTGCACCACACTGCCCCTGTTTCTGTGCTACAACACCCCCAACACATGGGGTTTCATCGCAGCTGGAACCAAAGAGGCTGAGAACTGTCACTGTAGGTGTGTGGAGGAGCCCTGCATGGAGGGGTCAGAGTCGTGCACTTGCAGGCGCACATCTTAGAGGGAACCTTGGTTAATAGCAAAGCAGTAGGTGTTCTGTCTGATTGGTACCAAACAAGGACAGGGAAACATGGGTAAGTTCAGTGTGTTTAAAAATCTGCCCAGGTAGTACAGTGGTGCCTCGTATTACGAGCGCACCGTATAACGACGAATCCGCATAGCGATCCCTTTTCCGGGATCGCTAATGCGGAGGCATAGCGTCGGCCCCAATGGGCAAAACTCGCTTACCGATCTTCCATGTGGGGGGCCCGTTGGAAGGAGCCGCCGCCGCCGCCGCGAGAGTGATGCGGGGCCGTGCTCGCCGGGGAGAAAAGCAGGCGGCGAGACAGGCAGGCGGAGGGAGGGAAGTGGCGCGCGCTCATGCGTCCGCCTCCCTTCTTCGTCCTCCTTCCCCCACACTTTCCCTCTTCCTCCTCCTCTCTCTTCTGCCGCCGCTGGGGAGGAACACAGGCAGGCAGGCAGGCAGATGGAGGAAAGGAAGTGGCGCGCGGTCGTGTGTCTGCCTCCCTTCGTCGTCCTCCTGTCCCCAGAC